CAATCTCACCACGTGTTGCTTGTTTCGTTTGTGATTCGGTTTTATGAATGATTGTATTCAATTCAATGTCAGGTTTATTTTTTTAATAGTGAAACTAAGTGCAATATGTCGCGTAATTCAAAGTACATTGAGAGTGGAAGGAGCTTTAAAAATATCAGTCTTTCAGTATAACTCATTTTGAAGTTATTTGTATTCCAAGAAGTCGCTCGTTTTTGTACTCTTTCTAACTGTCTTAATTCTGTTTTGATCGGATACCATATTTGTGATGCATAGCTTATAATTGGTACAATGTATTCACAGTATGAGTTTAATTTTGATTTATTGACATTTTTTTCGAGATATTCCGTTTGATTTTTTAAAAAGCTTTCATTGCTGTTAATATGCAATTTTCAGCATTTACTGACCACGAAAGGTTGTCACACATTAAAACATCTAAGTCTTTTTGCGTCTTTGCGGTATCAACATTTGTATTAAATTGTGTAACTTCCATTTTCGCTTTGAGGTTTAACAGATTACTTTTATCTTCCTTCAGCGGCATTTTATTTTCTTTGCACCATTTTTCAATATTTGTCGTGTCTTTTTGCAGATGAATTTCTTCATTAGACAAGATTTATATATCGTCACAATAGCCAAAGCAATCGGATTTCTCATTGCATTTGAGAAAGTCGTTAATGGATATGATAAGAAGTAAAGGGCCAAGAATTGAGCCCCGTGGTACACCGCTAGTTACTTCTTTCACAGTTGATGATTTTTTAATCAATTTTCACAAATTGCATTCTATTTGTTGGATAGTTTTGTATTATGTCTTGTATTTCAGTGCCTAGACCTATGTTCCGTAGTTTAGCGATTAGAATACTATGAGGAACTTTATCAAAGGCTTTAGAAAAATTTAGAAAAAGAACTGATAGTGTTCGAACATTTTTGTCATCGTAGAGTTCATATACTTTGCTCAAAAATTGTATCATTTGTAGTACTGCTGACTTTTTTTCGCCGAAAGCAGTATGATGCATTTTTCGAGAAAGGTTGAATCTTGGAGTATATATTATCGAAGATAATTTTTTCGAAGACCTTCGAGGCGGAGCATAAAAGGCTAATTGGGCGGTAGCACTCAACTGACGCTTTGCTCTTTTCTTCAAAAATTGGGGCCACTCGACTTGTTTTCCAGTAGGTCGGGAAGAACCGCTTGTTAATGAATATGCGGAAAAGAAGATAGAGCGATTTTAAAAGAGTTTCAGAAAGATTTTTTAGGGTTATATTACCTATACCGTCAAAACCTGATGATTTATTTGTTAATAGATTTTTGAGAATGAATTTGATTTTGGTTTCTTCAATGTGTTTTTGAGTACAGGTTTCTTCTGTAGGAGAACAGTTTGTATTTCGTGCGAGAGGGTTAGGATTTGATTCCTTTTGATATACACTGATGAAGAATTCGTTAAAAAATGTAGCCTTTTGGGTGTCATCTCTACTGGATTTTTCCTTGTAAAACATTTTTTGGGGATATTGCCTGGAAATATTTATTTTGTTCAAGTATTTTTGTTAGTCACTGAATCGTCTACTGCTTGTTGCTGTTACTTCATAAATTGCTTGATCTTAAGTCCATGCTATTTGAAGACTTTTTTCCAGTTTTTTGTGTTTTAGGATAAGATTTAAAGTAGGTTTGTTTAAACTAGGTTTGTTTTGCCGATCAAAACGACTTTTTAAGGTTTGTACACTTTTTAGCATGTGAGACGTTCTTGGTGTCACCTACGGGGGGAGAGTTGATCTGTGTGATGCAACCTTGGGTATATTGTTCTTTTTTTTTGTCCCATAACCATGCATGACACGGAGGCAGGAGCTCATTTAACATTACTGTAACAATACGGTATGAAAAGTTTGTCTTTTATTTCTTGATTTATTGTCGTCCAATCGGCTCTGTTAAATGCCAGGATTTCACCTTTGTTTATTTCTTTGATACTGGCTGCCATGTGAATTGTTGCAGAGTAAGCATCATGATCTGAGCATGGAACTTTTTCAATTCTGTATGCGTTTGTTGCTGTTTGGTCCCTATGCCAGTTGAGTATCACCCCAGGGTTATTTGTTAATAAAACATCAAGCTGCTTTTTTTGGAGTCAAATAATTGTTCATAGTCAAGTTCAATGAGCTTTTTTAACACTTCATTTTCATATTCGTCCTTTAAGTGCATCATTTTCCAATTAGTGTATTCAAATTTATATCTCCCGTAATCGACACTGCGTTACAGTTGTGCTGTATTTGTAATTTTGTTAAATTTTTGAACAGACAGATGACGTTTTGTTGTTTCCATTGGTATTTTTTGTTTTTCGGGGTATTATTAAGACAGCATAGAATTTGTTGATGCCCAGTTTCACCTGTTAGTTTGGCCACTACGCATTCTTCATTTTGTAATTGAGCATCAATTTCCTCGTAATGTACATTTTCTTTTATCGCCATGAGTACACCTCCTTGATTGGTCTTTAAGGTGGAGTTTTTTCTAGCTTTGCGAATTATTTTGCGAGCTTTATCTGGTGTTTCCGTTACCAGCCATGTCTCTGTGAGATATGGTATATCGTAGCCTGTTTGTAAAATGGCATTTGATAGAGCTGTTCTTCTGTTGATGTCTAAAATACTTCTGACATTTAGGCATAAAATTTTTAAATACTTAGCAGTAGGTAGTCAATTGCTTTCTTCGATTTTTTTTTCCAATTTCGACCTCCTTCGTCATATTGGTTTAAGGACAAGGTCTCTTAGCCTGAGGTTTTTAGCTGATACCCCCGTTTCTATCATTGTTCTTCTTTTCATAATAAATTTGTTGTCAATCAAAAATTCACTTGGGTTGAGCTCTTTTGACACAAAAAGTGTTTTGTCGTAGTTTTTAATTTTGCCAGGGACATTAGTATCAGTTATTTTTGCCATTCATTTGATACATTAACGACTACTGTGCGTGGCCTTTTTCCTTCTTCATATTTTCCTAAGCGTTTTAAGTCTGTGATTTTTGCTTTAACTGTTTAGAACGCAAACAGTTTATTCACCTCTTCCAAGTCGTGTTCGTGTCTATATCTAGAATTTTTTTAGTCCAATTCAAGCAGTCCTCTTATCCGGATTCCGTTATTGCTTGATTTTGGTTTGTTTAAGGCATGTTGCTTTGGCTAATTTCTGTTTTGTGGTTTTTTGTTTGTTCCATCTATCTTTCGCTTATCTCTTGTTTAAATGTAGAGAATTGTTCGGCGATTTCATTTAGTTTTGTTTCGGCAAGGGATGGACGGGTTTGCATCAAATCGTTGATCGTCGACTGTTTCTTATTGTTTCAAACACAACAGTTACAGAGCAGGAAGTTGTTCTGACTGATCTCCGAAATTCCAAGAATGGCAGTTTCAGATATTTCAGTGCACGTTTTTGTCATGTGAATAACATCGCCACAGGCAATGCAATTAAAGATTTGACTTTTGTTGATGATCGGCTTTTTGAAAGTTTTACAAGATTTCTCAGATAATTGCGAGACGCTAGCATTTCTGCGTCTATCTTTTGAGCCCATATTGCTCAAAAATCTTATCAGAACTGACACTCCAAGGTGTAAAACCTCAGGAGAAGACCAATCTAGAGAAGATTTATTGAGTTTTTTGATTCCCTTGGACTGATACTCCAAGGTATAAAACCTCAGATATATCCTAGGACTCTAATATTTCCTGGAACTAACACTCCAAGGTAAAAAGAAAACCTCAGGAGAGACTAGTCTCAAGAAAATCAGACTCACCAGAACTAGTGCGATGAGGATTGGGCTGCTTGTTTTTTCTTTGCTGCTGCTCTCTCTTCGATTTGTTGGGCCGTACTCTGGATTCTGATCTTTGCTGAAGTACTAGTGAACGAAGGTTGTGAAGTTTCGAAAGTACTTTGTTGAGCAACTTCAGCTCAAGAGACGGAGAGGGATGTAGTTTAGAGAGGGCAACAACTGTATCAATGTCGTTTTGTTTTTGTTTAGGAAGAAGTCGGTTTATCGCGTCGATGATGAGAGGTTTCGTCTTCCGTAACTTTTCAAAAATGTGAGGGGTACCGTCTCGACGAATGTATATGATCGCTTAAATTTATATGTACCGTCTCGACGAATGTATATGATCGCTATATTTTCCGCTTTTTGATGCTGAAAATTCGTGATGATTTCGGTTAACTGCTCCGGGGAACACTTCGTATTAAAGTTTTTGGAATGCTTTGTTATACTATTGTTTATCACGTCGTGCCAGCCAATGATTTCTCTGGACTTAATGGAACCGTTTCTAAGTAACCACGGCAATTTCTTGAATTTACGTTGTTTGGGTTGAGGCTTAGTCCCGATTTTGCAAAAGTGAATCTTCGATACTTTACCCTTAGATCATAGGGCAGGTAGTCAAGGGTTCTTCTGAGGGAGCTTGCTCCAACTACAATCATGTGATCCACCAACCTGTGTCCACCCACTAGTGTCCACGAGCGGTAGCAGTGGTAAAACAATCCAGTCAAAGTAATTTGCAGGGGACAACCACGGCTGTCCCAGTATATCAATTTTTATCTGAAACTATTTAATTATCCATTGATTTATACCATATAACTAAAATTTGATGTGAAAGTATATGGCAGTCACTTGCTGTTCCGATTTATTTTCGAAATGCAATTAAAATATAAGTCAGAATTAAAATCAGAAAAGAATTTGGTACATCTCAATCTCTGGGCGAAAAACTAACGTAATTGTTACTACATTCTTATGCTTTTTAGTGTTTCTTTCGATCTTTGTTATTATCTCTATCTAGTTGCGTATAAGCTACTCAAAATCTGGTTGACCAAGCTTTGAGCCAGCGAATAATTTAATTTTTTGTCTCATGTTCAAACTGCATGAAATCGAACAATAGTAACAGAAAAATAGTGAATGCTGCAGTTCGGCCAATGTATTACGAGCTTGACAACAGATAGTATGACTATACGAACGTAGAGCCGGCTATCGATGCTATTTGTTTCCTATTTTGCCCTTTTGAAATTTCAGGCGTCTATGAAGTTTGGAAGGCGCTTATGAATAATGTACCAAAAGAAAACGCAGAATTCAGAAAACATACGACAGGTAACATTTTGCTGCTTAGTGAAATTAGAAATAAAATAAATAAGAGCAATGATGTTGACGTTGAGACCATATAAATTCAGTATATTTGTTTTTCCTACTTAATCATTTGTTTCAATTTTTGGTCATCAGTATGGTGCACATAAGAACATCTATATCTATCTATCTATCTATCTATACTATATTTAAATGCGAGTGAAAGCTATCTCCCATGTTTACGCATGATAATTTTGCATGTTTAACGAAAGAGTTTTTTCATGTTTAAGTTATATCATATATAGCAATGCTTAAGAAAATTTTTCAATTAGTTTTCCGCAAGGTCATTAATTTTCAGTAATTTTTTTGCGGGGCCAAATTAAGGCTGTCTGTCTGTATACCTGCTTTGTTAATTAATTTGATTATGTCTGCCTACTCGTCTCATATTTTTTTCAACTTTCATCTATCTTTGATATGTTTATATACGGGCTTCAATATCTCGCAATGTTCAGGCTTTTTCAACGTTATTTTTGCATGTTTAACAAAAGAATTTTTTCACTTTTAAGCTATATCGTTTCTTTCGATATTCCACTTTAAATTCAGTGTTTATTTCATCAAATTTGAAATGAGCAACCTAATAGTGGGATGTTGTCAGAGTTTTCCCAGGTTTTGCGATTCTGACCTCCAAAAAAAACTTATTAAATAGTTTCAGTTATTGAAATGAATGCATGGGGCAGCCGTGGTGGCCCCCAATAGTGAAATTGTTGGAAAGTTTATTCACAGCGATACCATCTGGATTACACTCAGGAACAAACAGGGTGAACCTACAGTCTGGAAGACTAGCTGTATTTCTCATCCCAACTACAATCAGCTGAGTTCATTTCAATTTATTTGTCTTTATATACATTTTTCTATCTCTACTTTTCTATGATCAAAATAGTAGCAGCAAGCTCTCTTAGCCGTTCCATTGCAAAACTTGACGAATCTGAACAACATAAGCTTGCCGATTCTGTTCATTCTTTACCCGGCCTAAATCTTGACCCTAATACAGCAAACTATTGTTACGATTATTTAACGTCAACCCAGCTGAGGAAACGTAACCTTTTACTGTGGCATGACCTACTCAACAACACAATAACATCACATCCAAAAAAGAATAACATTCCCCAAACGGTTGATCAACTCATCGCGACTCTGAAAACAATTCCCAATCTCTTCTGCGTTGTCACATGTCAACGAGTAGGAGCTCCGTACATCTTTGACGACCTTGTGAAGGCCTTGGACTGTTACGTCATTGACGTGACAAAGCACGTTATCAGCGCGTCTGATACATCGAAAAGTTACGACCGATGAAATAGAAAACGCTCTGCAACTACTGGACGTAAATAAAGCCAAAGGACCGGATAAGATCGGGAACTTACTTCTGAAGAGTCTCTCAAAGTCACTGCCGAAATCACTGCACTTATTGTTTAACCTCATCGCAAATAAAGCCCGATTTCCGGAAAAATGGAAAGTCAGTGAAATTGCACCAATACTCAAAGATGGAGATAAACAAGATGTGAGTAATTACAGGCCAATCAGCCTGCTTTCAACAGTTTCAAAACTGCTAGAGAAACTGATTTTCGAGAAGCTGACTCCAATTGTTTACCCAACTCTGGCATCAGCCCAACATGGTTTCAGACCCAAACGGTCAACTATAACGAACCTTATAGAATATCTACATGAAATCTATAGCTGCTTAGAGTCTGAAAACTGCTCCTATCTGAATATCTTCTATATAGATTTCGAGAAAGCGTTTGACAAAGTCACGCATGAGCTTCTCATACAAAAGTTGGCTGCTCTGGGGATTGGTGGAAACTGTTTGAATCTGTTAAGAAGCTACCTCTATAAACGAAGCAAACCGTGAGACTAAATGACACTGTTTCAGATGAATTAGAAGTATTCAGTGGCGTACCACAAGGCTCCATCCTCGGACCGCTCTTCTTCTTGGTTTTCATAAACGATCTTCCATCATGTGTCATGTCCAAATCGTTCGGTTATGCTGATGACTACAAAATTGTAGGCGACAACCCTTTAACACTGAATATAGACGTTAGAAAACTGTGGCGGTGGTGTGACGAAAATTTCATGTCAATGAACTTAGGAAAAAGTAAAGTGCTCTGCATTAAAGGTACAGCTCCTATTGCACTGCCAAACCATGAATTTGAAACAACTGAATGTATGAAAGATCTGGGAATTCTCGTAAATGACACACTCTCGTGGACTCTGCATGCAAAGAAAAGGACCGAAAAAGCCTTGAACGCTCTCTTCATCCTAAAACGGAATCTTTCAAAAGCGACGTTTTGGACCAGAAAGAACGCATATATCTGTTATGTTGTGCCAATTTTAAACTACGGAGCAGCCCTCTGGAAACCATCAAAAGGCGACTTAGGTACTCTTGAAAGTATCCAGCGAAAAGCAGTATCATGGATCTTCATCACAAACAACATATCCTATAAGGATAAGCTCCTGAAACTCGATATCCTTCCAATCTCCTTATATCAAGAACTTCATGTTATTCTCTTGTTTGCCAAAATACTAACCGGAAAAGTTGACATAGACTGGCGTAGTCAAGTAACCATCACAGACATCGGTACTCGAAGAACACAAGCAACACGAAATTTTGCCTGCCAACAAATACGTCTGAAGAAGTGTGAATCAGATTACTGGTTTCGAGCTTGCCGTCTGGCCAACCTTTTTAACGATTACTTCAAATTTGACATAATCTTTGATCCAGGATGTAAAATTAAACTGCTGGAAGTTTATACGAAGTTCTTCAAAACCCGCTACAACGAAGCAGATTCATGCACTTGGCGGATATTATGTGGCTGCAACAACTGTAGAGATTTGAAGAAACTTAACTTTAACAACTGAAACACGAACGTTGAACCTCCCAATCACTGGGTTTTTATTATTATTATTATATATGAATAACCAAATCCTTTTAGTGTACGAGATAGGTAATTTTCGAGATTCTTAAAAACTTCTGGAAAAATTAATTATAAAAAGTTTCTCAAATTTGAAACTCTCACCCTGTAGTTGGGTGCTGTCAGGGTACTCTCAGGGGTTGTGAATCTTGCCTCCAAATCTCACTTCTCAAATCGTTGTAGTTTTCGAGATATGACGTTTTTTATGATTTCAAAAACTTCTAAGTTAAAAATTTCCAAAACGTTGAAGATCTCCTTCCTGTTGTGGGATATTGTGAGTGTACTCTTAGGGGTTGCAAATCTTGCCTCTGATTATGGCTGCTCAAATCGTTGTAGTTTTCGAGATAAGACGTTTTTTAGGATTTTCTCCGAAATTTAAAAAAAACTTAGATGTTTAAAAATTCCAAAATGTTGAAGATCTCAATCCTGTTATTGGAATCTGTGAGGGTACTCTCGGGGAGTTGCGAATCTTGCCACTGAATATGGCTGCTCAAACCCTTACAGTTTTCCAGATATGACGTTTTTTGTGATTTCTTCAAAAAAAAATTCTTGAAAATTATTTATTTTTTCAAAGTTTGAAATTCCTAACCTGTAGTTGGGGACAGTCAGTAATCTCAGGGGTTGCAAATTCGGCCTCCAAATAAGAATGGCCGATTCTTTTTAGTTAAAAAGATTGGACGATTTTTGAGATTTTTCTTGGAAATTTTCAGATAACTCAAATTACAAAAAATAATTCACTAAAGATCACTGCTTGAAAAGCAGGACGTTGTAGATTCGTTGGTCGCAGATTGAAATTCCCAAATCCTGTAGTTGTGTGCTGTTAGAGTACCTCCAAAGGTTGCGATTGTTACCATCAAATAAGACTGCTGAATGCTTGGTAGTTTTCGAGATATGAAATTTTTTCTGGTTCTCAAAAAATACCTTTTTTTTTTTTTAGAAAACTCAAGCTGAAGTTTCTCAAAATTTGAATTTCCTAATGTTGTAGTTGGGTACTATAAGAGTACTCTCAAAAGTTGCAAATCTTGCGTCCAAATGCGACTGTGCAATTGTCTTGTACAAGATGTGACGTTTCTTAGTTCATTTTAAATTCGAAGAACTTATTAAAAACTTCCCAAAATATTATGGTTCTTCAAAATTTGTATGAAAAACTTGAATAAAGAACTGCAAAATTTGTAATTACGAACCTTTTTATTCGTAATTCCTTTTTATTCGTACCTACTGTCAGAGTACGCTCAAAGAATGCAGATCTTTTTCCAATATATGCGGTTTATTATGAGTACCGGAGGTGCGTTACACGCTAGTTCGGCCTGAAACTGGGGGCAGTTTTACTTCTAGACTGCTTTTTTAGATAATCAAAAGCAACAATCCTCTGAGGCTCGTACATGCGCTTCAGACAACTCCGGAGCTTTTGAATATCATCGCGCGTCACGGCCTTAGACCAATTCAGCAAGCAATAGTTGAAAACAAGGTGATCCTTGTTGAGATTTTGCTAGATCATGGTTAGTTTAATGCCTTTGTTTAGGAAGTGTTAATTTGCAACACATCAGTTTGGTTTTATTTTTAAATGTTGCGACGACAATAATTTGAACATATGTATTTTTTTGTCAAATTCAGCTAGCTGTTAGTTCTTATTATTAGATCAAAGAGTTAGCAAAGAATCAAAAATTGCATCGACTCAAGTTTTAGTCAATAGAACCCTAAATATAGCTAACCCTAAATTTTTGAAAATATTTCTATAATGACTTGTTTATGTAATAGCAATTTGATTGTAAATAATTTTTTACAGGAGCCGACACTTCAGTGTTAAAACCTGATGGGTCTTCGCTACTACACTTAGCAATTTTGAATTCTACAGTCGACCTCGTGAGACTTCTTCTGAAAGCAGGTTGTAATCCATGCATTGCTGATGAACGAGGGGAGACGCCTTTGTTTCTCGCTGTACACTTGGATGACTTAAAAATTGCGAAAGATTTGATTTTACACGGTGCAAGTGCTTTGGTTCGTGATACGAATTCCTGCAATGTGTTTCACCTAGCGGCCCTGGGCGATACAGGTCAAGAGTTGGCGATTCTTCTATGCGAAGCTGTAGAAAGTCCTGAAGATTTGGAGGACGCTCTTTGCTCTACTTCAAAGAGTAAATACTCGATTGAGCCAATTTCGAGTCCAATAGAAACCGCAATACTAACCAAGGCTCACGTTGCTCTAAAAGTGTTCCTTTCGTTTCTATCGATGGAAGCTATTAATCGGAGATTTAATTGTTTGATAGATCACTGCTTAAAAAGCAAGACGTCGTTAGACGTTGTGGAATCGTTGGTCGCAGCTGGCTACCACATCAGACGAGAATTGGCCACATTAGATTTACAAGCATACGATGGTAACATTATTTCACTCAGACAAAAAGTTAAGCTTTCTAATATTTGTTTAGCATTTTGACTAATTCGCTGTGTTATGTTGAAAAAAATGAGTTTAGCTGGACTAAAATTGCGGTGAGAGCGTACTATCAGTGATAACGAAAGTGGCTTGTTTCTTTTCGAGTTAACTGACATATGAATTGTTTGAGTAACTAGCTAGACGAAATTCTTTTGCATGTTTTTACACTTGCGAGAGCCCGTGTCTTGTAATTGGGAACTAGACTTTTCCCCCTAAAACATTCTTTCATAAAAATCTTAAAGAAATTGAACTTGCTTTATTGTTGAGCCTTAACAAATTTCAGGTTCCATCTTTTTGGCCTAGAGGTAACGCCGGCGCCTTTGCACGCTAATATCTAGGCTTCGACTCCCGACCTGACCTTATTTTTTTCAGCATGTAGGAAACGAAATTTTTTTTCGGCAAAAATAGAATTGTCGGACTATCGTTTGTCTGTTTACACTAGCGTCATATTAGTGTAATAAACTATTAACGGCTTAATTGTCACATCAAGGATTTTTGTTCCACTCTGCTGAATCGCCTTGTCAATTTATTAGCATATGTAGCTGCTCTATTCGTGACTATGTTAGTCGGTGGTTAAGCAAGCGTGGCTGAGTGGTTAGTGCGTGAGACTCAAAATCTCTCGATTGCAATAGGTCCCTGCTTGAATCCCAAACCTAACCGAGTTTTTGCTAATTCGAGGCTTATTTCTATTTGTTCTCATTGAACTTTTTAAAGCTGCTTTTTGTGGCTTCGCCTCTGTTCAATATTCAATTATCATGCTTGTTTTCCTAAAATTAAATTTTGTCGAGACCTACGACAATTTTATATTTCTCGCCCTATTTTTTTCATCTGTTTTCACTTTTTTGATTTCTTATGTTTTTATGCTTGTGCTGTATCGCAAGTGGTGCGAAGCTCTGCTTCGCCTCTGTGTCGAATTATGTTGCATGAAAAAAAGATTGCAGTTGGTTTTTTGTTTTTTTTTTCCTGAAAAAAGTTTATTGAGTCATGACGCCCTACCTCATCTATCAGCTTAGGTTTGAACAATAGGCGTCTGCTCCTTTTAGATACGGTTTAATGGCATCTATGTTAAACTCAAATTTTTGAAAAGTCAGTTGGAGTTAAAATGCCTTTACTTGAAATTTATGCCAACTAATTTGATAATTGGTTTCTTCTTCCTTGGGATCCTTTTCAATGAGCAATTAATTAGATTTTTAGCATTTATTTCCAAGTATTTCAAAAGCGAATTCGTTACGCTGAAAAAATTTTCTGGCGTTTTGAAATTTGGTCTCTAATGCGGGGCATGATATTATTCTTCAATCAATCGCTGAATTTAGGTTAATTCATTTGGTTTCAAAAAATACGTAAGATTTTTAAAGCAGAAAAAATCCAATTGATTGCAATTAGTTAGCCTTGCTGCTCAATAATTGGGGAAAAAGTTGTAATTAGTGAAAATAATTGCTGCCGACTTTTCACTGGTGAAACGCGTAACAGAGTTATGGGTTGCCGATATCTTGCTAATGTTAGTGTCAAAACTTCGGGCGGCCAAAACTATTTTGAAATTTAGCCTCTCGGGTATGAAGTTTTTTAAAACAGTAAAAACGATGATTTGAGTGTGAATGAACATAACAAGTTTATTTAATTTTTTTAAGGTACAATGGTATTGGGTAGATTGGAATAGGGTAGATTTCCTGCTACCGGCCTTTCATTTGCTGCAAAAACGAATATAGTTTTAAAGATTTTCAAGCAGAATAAAAATTACCCATTTGCTGATTTTCGCTAATTGGATTTATGAAAAAAATTGAATTATCTTTAAAAGAAAGATCTTGGCGTGATGTATTTTCCCTCTCGAAATATGAAAGTTAAATATGTTCCAAAAAGTATCATATTTGTCTGTTGGCTGTTTCGTTGTTTTTTGTGCCTTCAGAAAAATTATGTCTATTTAAGCTATTTATTTGGCATTACCTTAAGATGTCGCGTTAACAGGTTCTGCTGCAACCGTTGTACCAATTGTAGAGTACTTGCACGCAATGAGAAGCTTTGTTCCCTCTCTGTTTGACTTGACGAGACTGCAGATCTTGAGTGATGTGCCTCCGAAAGAGAGAAGGTCACAAGAGGTGTTCTCCCAAATGCAACTGCCCCAGTTGCTGTCTTACAAACTTTGTATCAAATTCTAACTTAACATCTCTCTTTCTTTGTTGTTTTACGAATAGATGCTTAGTAATTTAACATGAGCTGGCCTGCGCTTTTCAACCTTTAAATAGCGAAACAGATGGAAGACTGATTTTCAAATTCAAAATGAGACAACAAAAAGGTGACCGTTGTGGCATATTTTTGAGTTCATAATCTGCCATTACGCCATGGCAGTTGATATTAGCAGTGGTTTGGGTTCAATAAAAGGTCAGTTAGTTCTGCTTAATTAAATGCTATATCAAATCAAACAGTTATGTTTTTTGTGGCAATTTTACTACATTCGCTAACTATTAGCTTCAAAGCTATTACAAAAGCGTATCCAGGAAAAAACAATGAATCATCTAGGCATCTTATTTCATCAATTGTAAACGGAGTACCTGCTTTTAACAGACCATTTTACGCCAGTTTGAAATACTTAGAGACGGACGAGTTTATCTGTGGAGCAACAGTTGTGCAAAGCTCTTGGGTTTTGACTGCAGCAAGTTGTGTTGATTTCGACGGTAAAAACAGCGGTTCGTAATTAGCCAAGAACCTCATAATGTGGATTTCACATGCGAATTAGCGCTTCAGTTTTAACTCTCGTTAAGATCGTTTGGTCTGAGCTGTCGGTTTTAGTAACAAATTTTGTTACCGAGCATTTTTGTATTTCGATGGGTTGATTTGCGATTTACTGAGTTTGTTGAGCAAAACTGTTACCTTTTGATATTGGAAAATTCTGGAAAACTGTATTCGTTAGAATTCAGAGAGCCTTTAAGCGAAATAATTTTTTTTAGTTTATGCATCGAAAAGGAACGTTTTAGTTTTATTGAGTTCATTGACATGTTTTTTACGTTTGAGGTTAGCAATTTTCGTGTTAAAATTTGGTTTAACTAAATCAGTTCAATCACTGGACGCTATGCTTCTGTCATGCTCAATTTCATGAAAATTCAAATTTAATTACATCTGTTTATTGGGAATTTTTCTAGAATTAAATTGATTTTTTGTCGGCTTCATATCAAATAAAAAATTTTGTGCTCGCTCGTGTCTTTCAAATTTTAAAGATCCGACCGAAAAGGGGCCAAAATTTAAGGATTCAGCAGAAAGTTTATCGAAAATTTAACAACCGAGTTTTAAAAATAAGTCACATCAATTGGTTTCAGTTAACCTTTCGATATTATACGTGGCTAATTTTTGAATAAAAATGAGGCTCTTTTGTTGCTTTTGAGCTGCGTCGTGAAAAATTTTACCTGCTTTGTGATCAGTTTTACAACGCTAATTAACTTTAATTGCCATCTTAAGCTTTTGTCGGCTAATTTGTTATGCTAGTTCTGTTATTTATTCGAAGCGGCGCCAAGCTCAGCTTCGTCTCTGCATTCGAAATGCGCCGTTTCATTTAAAATATTAGAATTTCAGCTTTTAGTGTTTTTGTTATGAAAAAACTCCACATTTTCATTGAAATTTGCTGTAATCTAATTTTTCAAAAGCAAAAACAAATGCTATTTTTTTTACATTTTGAAACTGTATTTGTTTTATCAATTAAACAATTTTTCTTACATTGCCTTATGACTTTTCCGTAAAGTGTTTTCTTTTGAACGAAAATTGGCAATTGAAGTTAATTAGAAATTCGATGAAATTTTGCGAAGACAACTTTTCTATAAAAAATGCAGTCATGAAACCATTTGTAGCTTTCAGTTACATTTTGTTTTATCTGTAGCGCTCATTACTGAACTAAACTCCGATTTTCGACATTTACTGTTTGTTATAATAGTTCTCGGTGAAACCCTTGTACACGTACATTCATCTTTTCATTTGCAATTCATAAACTGAGACGGAGACAAAAAATGGCTTTAAGGAAAAATTTTTTTTTCAAATGTACATGATTGGGCATTTTAGCTGTTTTTTCAGTTTTTTTCTGAACTTTTGTCGTTGATGATTTCTTTTTCTTTTCATCTTTTGCGAATTTTTCAGTTCGTTTTTGTTCTTATTCTTTGCCTTGGTTTGTTACTCTTGCGATAAATAAGGGTGTTGCAACCGAGTAGCAGAAGTTTTCCCCGTAAGCAAATTGGTTACCAAGCTTTTGCACGCGATAGTTACTCGTGTTTCATTTTCCTTCACAATTAATTCAAAATCAATCAGCCATGCAGATTATCCGGCGTATAAGTAACCTACCTGCTTGAACCAAGAAAAGGTTGTTGTTCGAATCCGGCCGGGACTTGGTTGTGTGGAAACTAAAATATTTCTGCTTTTTTGGACTCGTCTGTCTGTGTATTTTTGCCGGCTTAGTTTCCGTAGCACGGACTCTTTTGAAAGTTCAGATTTTTTCTAACTATCTGAAAGAAATCTCTAAAGCCTCATTGGTAAAAGTAATTGAGCTACAATCTTTTTCTGGGGTATTTTTTGTCCTAGTCTTGAAAACTCTTAGAAAAAGTTTCTTATCCAAAAAAATTAATCAAGCTTCAAAATTATCTTTCTGCGTTGTTTGGACAAAAAACTGATGCATGCGGATTTTATGCTCGGAATTAGCAGGCGTTATCTTTTCGGAGCGTAGAACGTTTCTGGTAAACATTTTGTCATGTAAGCAAGTTGTCCAATTTGCAAATTAAGCAAATTGTCCAGCGAAATAATTGTTCTCTGCGTTGGAATATTTTGAGAGTTGAATTTCATACATTTTAGAAAGTTTTCATTTTTTTTCATGAAATTAAGTTTTTTTTTGGCTCAACCGGTTGTCTGTTCAAATATGTCGGTTTTGTTACCGCTTCAAAAGTTTAGTTTTGATTCAAACTTAACTTTCATTGTCAAGTTTAGCGTGTTTTCTTAAGTTAAACTTTCTCAAGACAGTTTGGGAAAATGATATGAAAAATTTTGTAGATTCAGCTTTTCTCGATATATCAATGCCTCTCAGTTGTTTCCTAAGGCTGTTTATCATAAGTTAAGCGAAGTAAAAACGGCTTTATGAAGGTTTCAGCATCAATTTCAATAATGAGATTTGAAGTACAAATTACAAATTGAGTCAAATATTCAATGAAATTTTTATTTGAAATGAACAAAGCTAATTGTATGTTTCAACAAATTATAATTAGGTTAATTAATTTTCTTTTTTGACAATAACAAAAAACAATATCGAGTTTTGCTAATATTTTGTTCTTGTCTCCGTAACCTTGTTCAATAATTTGAAAGTCAAATAGTTTGTGTCCTTATCTCATTGACTGGCGTTTTACTGACAGGACGTATTTTTATTGACAGGGCAAATTTTATTTTCAATAGAATTTTTTTGGCCAAACCTTATAATTTCCAATTTCCATTTAACAACAACTTAGGAATTTCCATTTATCAGCGTTACAAAATGACAATGCATAACGTCACTTTAAGCGTCTTGTTTTCAATCTCCTCTTTTTTATGGAATTGCTTAACACCTTTCTCATAGAGTTCACGTTTTGTGCTATTGTTCCGGCTTTCGTAATGAAAGTAACGGAATATTGGTGCTCGGAATGAGTTTTTTCTTCAGACAAATTTCGACTTTTTAACTAGCCATTTTTGACCGAGTTTTCTTTCATTATTGAAAAGGTATTGTTTTTGTGAGCCTAATTTTGAAACGATATTTCACCTGTGAATTTTTTTCGTAAAGTTACGGGGGTTTAAAGATTGCCATTTTGACTAATTAAATTTAATTAACGCGCGATATATTTCGCGCTATTAACGAGTATGTGGAGATTCAATCCGCCTTAGAAATTGTTCGAAATAGGGTAAACGAAGTTTATTTGCCATAATTGGTCTGTTACTAAGAGCAAAAACTATCACTTTGATTTTTATATGGCGTTTGGTGGGATGATTTTCACAAAAAATCTCATATTTAAAAAATTATTAAAAGGCAGTCGGAACATTCATGACTTTGCCCTGATACGAGCAGTTTTGTTGTATTTCAAATCAGTTTTTCCAATATCTGTTTAGAGAAAGAGTTGTTCACTGCTGCCATATAATTACGGTTAGAAGAAGCACGCTTAAATTTGTAATGTTTATTTTTCCCAAAACAATTAAAAGGTTTTCACTTTAAACAACTGTCATCTTATATATGTTTTTGAAGATGCTCTGTCTTTAAGGGCTTTTTTGTTTTTTATAGAACTATTTGCAAAATAGTTTGCCTTGGGAAGCTAACGCTATCTTTTCGTTTTTCATTAAAAAATTTCAGGATAGCAAATTTTTCTCAATCAACAACACAAAATGCAATAAAAATCCCAATTTTTTTTTTCGTTTTTTATAACGTAATTACAGATAAAATTCATTTTTTTGGGTAAAAGTTTCTTTTATTTTCAATTTTAAGACTTGACGTTTTCAGATTGTGGGTCTAATGTATAAATAAAAAAATCAAAACAAAATTTGTTCATTTTTTTTCAATAAATGGCCCAATTACACGTTTTAAGTACTTGAGAGACCAAAACAACGGTTTTCGTCAAATCATGCCATCTTGCTTCGGACGTGTTGTTTGGTGGAGTCAAAATACACAATGAAGTAAGGTAAAAAATATAAATATAATGATTTAAATGATAAGATATAAAAGTCTTGCAATCAGCTAAAAACTAACAACTAATTTGATAGGTTACTTCAATAAACTCATCTGGTGAATTATTGTTTAAAATAAGTTTCCGTTATAGTACTTTGTCACTGAGGAAAAATTTTAATGAAAAATAAATTTGAAAAATTTTTGTACGAAAGTTCCTGCCTAATAACTTTCCTGTAGGAAAAGTTACGGGCATACAACTTTCATATAGAAAAAGCCACTATTTTCCTTCTAACATTTTTAGAGCCTTTTTTGTAATAAGTCGTAAGATTCTTAGAATAAATAATCTACGATAGCTAATCTTGGTTAACCCCGACCTGTTTATTGCCAAGCATTTTAATTTGATTTAATACCGAACTCTCTACTTTTTATTTTGAGCATTGTTTCCAAATTAACAACCTAAGTTACCAACAACATTTTGAGTATCTTTGATCATTACAGAAAAACAATAACTTAGTTTAATTTATCAATAATTAACATATTTCAAAATTCCTTCATTTTTTCCATAGAGAAAAAAGTGCGCTTGTAGAAGAATTATTTGTGATTAAGTTGGAGTAGGGGAGTTAGGATCCGACCACCGGCCAATCAAAGAGTTCCCCCTTTGGTATTAATTTAAGACATCCATTTTTAGATGACCAACTCTAAAGTTTTTTCTAAAGGCGCCTTTGGTGCCAATATATCCCAAGTTTTTTGGTCAAAAATTTCCAAAAAAGCCCAAATAATAAATTTCTGACCTGTTTTTTCTTAAATTTCCTGCGCAAATTTTTCAGCAAAACTATACTATTTTTAAAAAATATACTGTAAAATTATTTTTACACAATTTTGAGAGCGCTCGGAAAATCAATTTGGCCGACTTAAAAAAAAAGTAGACAAAAATTTTTAACCAAAAAAAATTCACAGCTGCTCTTTTACTTTTTGTATCTTGGTATTTTTCTACAACTGAAAGTGGGAAGTGAAAGAACTTTC